ACTGTTAGATTGATAGGCATTGTAAAACACATTCATAACATAATGCTCTTTAGCACTAGTGCACTGTATTAGTAACTGTTACTTGGCAAATTGTTCTGAAATTTTCTACTCTGTAAACAGAAAGCAACACCCACAGCCTCTAGTTGAAAGGACTGATGTCATACATGTGAGCCAGGCATGTGCTGAGCAGAACTTTAATTATTCACATGATACATTCCTCACTTGTGGGGAATCTGACATTCCTTCCTGAGCTCATTCTCTCCTCCCTTCCCTCTTGCTCTCTCCATCTCTCTCTTTCCTTCTCCTTGGCCTCCCTTGCTCACCTCTCTTCACTTCTCTCTCCCCAGCCCCATATTCTGGATGTTTCCAGTAGTATGTACTTGTTAGCTGGGACCATGGCTAAGTCTTCCCTTCAAAGGACAAATGCACTTGTCTATTCCACCTTCTGCCCCCTACAGAGAGTTAATGAGAGTGTGGCAACACTCAATAAATTTAGAAGGGCACCTATTAGCGGTCATATATTCACAACTATAAATTAATAGGATGAGCAACAGACTGAACAATGAGGATTCACTCAACTCATTCTATTATACCAAGTAATAATTTATCATAGACGTGTAATCACAAAATACAGTTAAGCACTCACAACAGGTCCATTCTTTTTTTTAATTCTTTATTAATTACACTTTATTTACTTTGTATCCCCCTTGTGGTTCCCTCCCTCCTCCCTTCCCAATCCCTCCCTTCCTCCACCCTCTGCATGCATGCCCTTCCCCAAGTCCACTGATAGGGGAGGTCTTTTTTTCCTTCCTTCTGATCCTAGTCAATTAGGTCTCATCAGGAGTGGCTGCATTGTCTTCTTCTGTGGCCTGGTAATGTTGCTTCCCACTCAGGGGGAGGTAATTAAAGAGCAGGCCAATCAGTTCATGTCAGAGACAGTCCCTGTTCCTATTACAATGGAACCCACTTGGATACTGAACTGCCATGGGCTACATCTGTGCAAGGGTCTTAGGTTATCTCCATGCATAGTCCTTGGTTCACCAACCCTATATCTGACAGAGGACTAATATCCAGTATATATAAAGAACTAAAGAAGTTAAACAGCAAAAAATCAAGTAATCTAATTAAAAAATGGAGTACGGAGCTAAACAGAGAATTCTCAATAGAGGAATATCGAATGGCAGAGAAACACTTAAAGAAATGCTCAACCTCATTAGCTATCAGGGAAATGCAAATCAAAACAACCCTAAGATTTCACCTGACACCCATCAGAATGGCTAAGATCAAAAACTCAAGAGACAACACAGGTCCATTCTTAATCAGTGTTTGAACTTCTTTTATTTCCCTTTGGAAGAGGAAGAGTGACTTCACTCTCAGTGACCGAGGCTTCATTCTATTGATTCTGGACTCCTAGTCAAGCAGAAGATCATGCTGGAGGGAGCACATGGCATAGTTCGCTCCTTTCACAGCAGACGAGAAACAAACTGGGAACACAGGAGGAGCGCTAAGCTAACGCAGTACCCAAGCACACAGCCCATTGACCCTCTTCTTCCAACTGTGATGCCCTGATGCTCACTGCCTCCCAACAATGCCATCAGCAGATTAATTCATTGGTTACACCAGAGTTCTTAGAATCCAGTCACTTCTGAAAATCTCATCAGCTGGCAGCTAAAGCCGACCTCTCCTAGTCAACCATAATATCCCATCATAGTCCCAAAGACTCCTCATGAAGCAAATGCATTTAGTCCACTTCCAAGAATCCCCATAGTCTTAATAGCTCCAGAACAGAAAAAAAAAGAAAAGTACAAGTTTAAAGCCTCTTCCAATACTCATGGCATATTCACAGCTTTGAACCCTTAGAAAATAAGAAATAAAAAATGCCCATGCTCGCAAATGTCATGAAGTAAACATGCCTATTCTGAGGAGGAATCCTATTAGGGAATCAGTGTTCCCTTTTGCAGGGTCTTCATCCAATTCATAAAATAATTTAAAAACAGCCTCAAGAGCAAGATTGAGGACCGTTTTATTACAATTTGAGAGAGAAGTCATAGTGCAGGCAATCTGTAAATCTAGGCATCTTTAGAAGGTGGAAGAGGAAGAAAGAAAATTGTGCTCTCTGAGCTAGAGTTCAAGAAACCTGGTGTGTTCAGTGGAGAGAGGCAAGCAGCTGTGTGGAGTGGAGGTGCTCTTCAGAGACAGTGAGAACATCCAGGGCCAAGGCAATACTATTGGCCAATACCCAAGAAGAAATGGAGAGAGAGAAAAGGGGGAAATGAGACACTGTTTAAGTTAGAGCTCAGAAAGCTAGGCAAGTCGAGCAGCGGCTGCCTGCATGGAGTCTGTAAGCATATAAGCATATTATCTCAGCAAGGTTCAATTATTCCTCCCATCATGCCACTGTATCTTCAGGTGTGTCATGCTTCCTGTAGGTGCCCTCCTGGACAGACTATCTACAGGCCCAGCTGGGTCAACTCCTAGGGAAGAGACAAGATTCCTAATCTTTGAAGTACACCAGAATGTCTTCCTCCAAGGGTCAGGGTAGAACTCAGATTCTGATTTTTTTAACCAGGAAGAAGTAGTTTTCTCTTAATAGTCTCAACAAAACCCTGATACTTCCACTTTTCATAAGGTGTTTGAAATCTTAAGGCAGGGCAAAGCTGATTGGGAGGGAAGGGTTATCCTTTAAGCCTCCAAGCCTGCTAATGCTTGTCCAGCTGTCTAACAAAGGGACTTAAGTAAAACTAAAATCCAGGAAGGAAATCATTAAATCCTGTAGTTCTATGTCTGTCATTAGGGGCACATGGTAGTATGATCTGAACTCCAAAGGGGTTGCTCAGCCCTTTGGTCTTGCTACTTGGCTCTCTTTCCTCTCAGCCTAACATGGATACTGTTTCTGGCTCTGAAATGGCCTCCAGCCACCTTTCCACTGTCCTAGTGCAGACAATGCGGCTTCTTACGCAGTGGCTCTAATCTCTATAAATGCCACAACATTCTACAAACGTGATCCTTGCTTCTTTCATGGTTAAAACGAATGTTGTTTGGATCCTTCTGCTCTGAGAACTCCCCAGTCTCATTATAAACCAAGAAGAAAGAAGAAAAGAGCCAGAAATACCCAAAGTGCTGAACCACCCAGAAACCTCCATGCCAGGTAAACTGGTCCAATATGGTTCAGCCTTATGAAAAGTCTCTGAAAAAGAGAAAGAAAAGGGAAATGTTTACAAGTTCTTTGGAAGAATAGAACATGTAATTTACATTCCCTTAATGTAATTTACATTAAGTCTTTGTTTCCGTTGGAAACCTCATGGGCGCAGCCTTTACTGACTGCATTTCTTCAGGCATTCTGAGATCCAACTGGAATTGTTCACAAAGCCCAATTTACAACACCTTTGTCATCTTCTAGCTCGCTTTCCCCAACTTTTCCAAATTCCTCTTAAGAACCACACGGTCAGTTTTAGCCACACAAACAAACAAACAAACTCATTTTTGGTACCAAGTTTCTCTGTTAGTCAGATCTTGCATTCTGTAACAAAATACCTAAGAAACAACATTGGGGGGTGGAGGAGTATGTTAGCTCGTATTCCCAGCCCATCATCCTTGGCTGTGCTGATTCCAAGGGCTGAGGCAGAACAGAATGAGGTGGGGCACGTGACAGAGGTTGCTTGCCTTATGATAAACAGAGAGGAGAGAAAATGTTCCCTTCTTTAGGAGGAAGAAAGTTCTGCTTCCTGAATATTGCTTCTACCTGACTAAATTCTGAAGAGACTCTGCTCTCCTCCAATTTAGGCCTTTCCAGACGACTAACACAACTCCCTCCTCACACTAGCACTGTATTTGTATGCATTTGTGAAGGGGTGGATGGGGAGAAACACCATTTATCATTCACACATTTGTATTTATTCAAAATAGTCATATACAGACACATAGAGGCTTCTTTTTCTCCCCTCTTGAATATGCTGTGAGATTTTCAAGTCTCAGTATTATATTCTCAAGCTACACTCTTATGACACCCAGGCACACGTGGTATACAGTAGGATGTCTGTAATGCAAATTTGTACAAGAATCTTCATCCGTGCATAATTCAGGTGTGGCCAAGATATAAGGGAAGTTTAGTTGTCTAGTTTCTACCAGTGAATTTGACTATATTTTGCATAAATGCAAATTGTAAACCAGTAGTTGGCTTTATAGAATGGAAATGAGTTCCCCTGAACTAGCTGGAGCTGGTGGAAGATAGATATGGCTTAGAAGGTGAGGACCACAAAGCAAAAGGGCACGCTCAGTTACAAGTCTGCATCAGAGACAGGGTAGTCAAGTGTTGTAGACCATATTGAAATGTTAGGGGTATACACCTTGGGTCTTTGAAGAGTTCTCTCACAAGGACAGATGCTATTTACATATTCTGATTCTTCTACTGACTTCCACAGCATGAGTCCCTGTGTTTTAAATTCTTCGCATCTCTAATTTATGTGTGTATCTTGGCTCACCATGTGAGAGGTTCAGTCTGTGGTTGCTTGGTTCTATATTCTTGGGCAGAACCTCATGGTGACAGAAATAATGAATATGTTTAAGGTAGCATTCTTCACTTCATGGTACCCATGCAGAGCAGGCACCCTGGCAGCCAGGAGGCAGCAGAGAAACTATAGGAAGGGACCAAAGCAAAATACTGCTCCAAAGAAGCAACCCCACTGATGTGCTTCCTGCAACTGGTCTGACTCAACTACATTACCAGGGCCCTGTACTCTGTTCCTGTTTTTAATTCCTCGGTAGATGAAAGCATCCATTACATCAAAGGCCTTCACGATGTAATCATCTCTCAAAATGGCCTCACACACACAACCAGAGGAGTGCTTCTTTGACCTCCTAGATACATTCATCTAAGTTGGCAAGCAGAATGAACCCCCACACTATGCGTCTGGTCTGGTATGTCCCGCACGCTGATAGCAGCGATACAAAAGCAAACAGCCTTGTAGCCTCTGCTCACAAGAGACTTAAAGTAGGGAAGAGCACTCCGTGGAGGCGCTGCAGAGGTGGCTGCTGTGTCACAGGTGCGTCAGGAGGTGGCCGAGAGGAGCGAGGCTGTGTCAAAGCTCAGTGTTCTGACCTGTGAGCATCTGGATGATTAGTAGCCTGACACTCCCTGAGCAAACGCAAGCCTGAAGCGACCACCACCCTGGCACCATGCAGGACCGGTCCAGGTGTGGGGGCAGAGGTGAGCCTGCACCCCGTCCCAGGGCATGAGAACACGAAAGCCAGCCCTGCCTCTTGTCTTCTGTGTGGTGGCACAGACAAGAGAGAGACCCCCTCCTCTCCTCCCTCATCCCACGGCAGACAAGAGAGCTGGCCCCAGGAACACGAGAGTGGGAGAATGGGCCCTGAACCTCCTCTGGGCAGCAGGGTAGAAATGGCCCTTGTTGTGAGGGTTTCTGGTAAGCTAGTCCTGAGGTCGTGAGAGCAGGGTAGCCGGCTGGCTGACCTGGTCAGACATCTCTCAGGTCCAGATCCAGGGCTTTGACTTGGCCCACCCTAACATCTAACGCATGAATGCACTGCTTGGAGTGCATGACGGAGCCAGTCCAGAACTACAGGATCTCCGAGAGGAGTTCCAGTGAGGTCCTAGTATTGATAGAGTGAGTAACTGAAGCCAGAGGCTTCGAACCTGACCAATGAGTCCTTGCAATGAACATTTGCAGTCAAGAAGTGTGGACAAAAGTGTATACTGGGGGACACAGTGGGACATACCACAGCTTCCACAACGAGATTATTTTTTTCTCTGCCGGGGGAAGATTGCAAGGGTGGAGAGCGGGTAAGAGGGGTGGGGGAGATGAGTGGGATTGGGGTGCATAATGTGAAATTGACAAAGAACCAGTAAAAAAAAAAATATTTTAATTGGGGAAGTACACTCACTGTGAGCACACAAACTCTACAGAGAAGCCTCTTGCTGGGCCCTTAACCACAGCACCTAGCCATTCCTTTTGCGCGCAATGTCTCCAGAGAACGTCCTCAGCATCCTTTTACCTGCAGTTTGCTCTGTCGAACACCAGATGGCACCATTGAAACCTTACACCAAGCAATTAACACCTTATTTAGACTACGAAGAAAATGACAGCGTGACTGAACCTCTGTCCTTCAAAACTTAAACATCCTCTTACTGTACAACATTGATATAAACTAAAGTAACAAGACATTCTTTTTAATCTGTGATAAATGTAGAAATAACGGCGAGACTGTAATAGTGAGAAAGCAGGTACTGTAGCCCGCGTTCTTTGAGTGAATTTTTACTCTCCTGAGCATGTTTTAATATTTTGGAGTCTTCTGTGCCTTTCAGAACCGGGCGGGTCTCTCAGCTTCATGCTTAAATTGGATACATAATCCAAGACACTGGTCACACACTGCTTTCCTGTCCCTGCTGCTGCCTCCTGGGTTGCTTCCTGTTGTTATCCTCTACCTGCCAATTATTCTTACTCAACCCCTAGTGTGTGAGTGTGCGTGTGTGTGCGCGTTAGTGGAAACGTAAAATGTGGAAATATCAACTCTGAAATCACAGAATTACGCCTTCTAGGAAACATTTGGCAGCACGCAGTTGTCACAGCTGAGAGAATGGGCAGGTGCTACTGACACAAGAAACAGCAGAGGCCCAGAATGGAGTTACAGCACAGCTGCAGGGGACAGGGCAGACCACCCACACAAACACACAACAGAGAAGGAATTCCCACTTAGATGTCGGTCTAGGAGGGGTGCACAGTGATAGGAGTTTTATGGAAGCAGACCTGGGTCTGTAAAGAAAATACAACTTTCCTTTATGATAGAGGCTGGACAGTGAACACCGTCAGTCAGAAGATGCGCTCAAAGACACTATTATTTTAAATATTACATATATTAAATAAGATTCGCCTTGTTTCCTTACAAACGTAAGAAGGAATCCAGACCTCACAGCTCACGTCTGTGTGTAGATCAGAACCTCGGGTTTTCATATTCGACACCAGCTGTGTCCAAAGAGAATTCTAAGAGCAGCAGGGGGAAGGGCAAGCACAGGCTTTCTTTCTAGTTTCTCTGTGACATCGTGGAGCCTTACCGGACTCTGAGTTCTTGGAAAGTGTCTATAGTTAAGTAAACGCCCTCCTAACCCTTTTGTGTCCAAAGAAAGGGCAGGCTTCAAAGGACCACCCTGCCCTCCTGCATACTCCTCATAACTAATAAAGATGTCCTCTACAGTAAGCCCCAGGGCGCCCCCTCTTTGGCTTGAGATGTCTTCATTAACGAATATGTTGCCTATTGTGGTGGAGTGAGCAAAATCAGCTCCTCGCTGGTCTTTCACTTGCCCCTCCAAACATCTACTTCTCTTTCCCCCTCATTATGTTCTATGCCACTGAACTGCTGGCTCTGAGAAGTCCATCACTCCCGTACCTCCCAGGCTTTGCAACCCTGGGGAGGAGAAAGAGGGCAGATTTCCCATCTCCCAGGCCATCCTCATGATGCTCAGGCAACTCCTTATTGCCAAACGGTTTGCAAGGAGAACGGTTCGAAGTCCAGGCATCTGGACTTTTTCCTCCCTCTCACCACTGCCCTGCTAGGGTAAGAGCCCCCACCCTGTCTGTTTCTGAAGGGGCTAGTGTGCATGGTGGTTAGGAAGAAATCCCACAGGAGAGCCTGTGAGGGACACCCATGACTGGAGGAACAGCCGACCTCCACCAAGAGGGAGGGATATAGCTGGCAGGATATATGGCAGATGAGGGGTTCTGCCTCAGTGATTCCAGGTCATCTGCTATCTTATGATGGCCCTCAGAATAGTCCTCCATCTGCGCAGGGGCCTCCTGCCTAGCTCAATGTCCTAGCTCAACTGCACCAAAGCCAAAAAATTATCCCGAATTCTGTTTCTGAAGGTGCTTCCCAAGTGTTAGGAAACCTTACCTGTCATAGGACTTTCTCTACAAATTCTGGAAAGCATAATTTGGGGGTCCAAAGACCTAAAAAGTAACCTCTGTTGTCCTGCTATTATGGGGGTGGGTCTTTATAGTTTACCGAAGTTTCTACACCTGCATGAAAGCCCTGTTCCCATCTGGTGATGTAGATTGACTTAGACAAACTAGCACCTGGCCTGGAAAGCACTGGCAGATGGGAGATTTGAGATACACACAGAAAAAGATAAGAAAAGCTTGATTCAAACTGACTGTGAGAATGGCCAGCAGCAACCGTAGCAGGAAGAGGCAAGTGGGGAGGCGAGCAGAGTCCAGCAAAGAAAAAGAGCGGTGGCTCTCGCTCGGGCTAGTGGGGGAGGGGGGTGATAGGAAGACGGGCAATTGGGTGTTAACATTCACTACAGTTGCTTTATTTCACGTTCACCAAAACACCGTAGGTATGTAAGTTACCGAATATATGATTTCCACAGTAAATTTAGTCAAAATAGTCTAGGAACAGGAGTACTTAAATTTTTATTCCAAATTCTAAGATTTTTAAGTCTACTGAGTTTAGGATAGACAAAGAAAAAACTAAAGAGGGTGTGCAGGCCTTGATGCAGTTACAGGAAGCAGGCCCACGGGAACACGGTCTATTTCCGGCTGCGAACAGACGGAGTTCTCTAAAGCTACCACCACAGTCCATATCCCCATGGAGTTTATTAAGTACAGTGCGGGTGGGGGCATGGCGGAGTAGCTAGTCCCTGGGGAGAGGTCTCCGCAGGGAGCAGGAAGACACATTCAGACTCCCGAGCAAAGCTTTGCGTTTCTCCTAAGCTCCAGCCCTGGGGGTGACGTCTGCTTTGTCAATTGTTACATGAGTCCAAGGCCCTGGGCGATCTTGACCTGACCATGCCCGCATCAAACACAAACAGACTCGGGGCTTTACGCATTCAGAGATTCCTCTGCTCCCGACAAGAGAGTTTATTTGTGCTTACAGTTCAGTTCCAGAGGGGTCAGAGTCCATCATGGCAGGTCACAAAGCAGCAAGTGACAGGCTTGACAGTGGGAACAGGAAGCTGAGAACTCGGGCGCCTACAGCCTCGAGCACAAAGCACAGACTGAAGTAGGAAGGGCTTTTTACCTCCAGAGCCATCTATCTCCCAAGACATACTCCCTCCAGCTAGGTGAGGCTTCACTGCATAAACCACTGCAAACAGCGCCACCTACTGTTAAAATAGCTGGGATTCTGGGAGCATGGTCTCTTTCAAACTACAGAAGGCAGTAAAGTACTTTATGGCACAGAATGTTTTCTATATTTGAGATAGAGCCCGCGACTCTAACTTAAGAATCATTGCTCATCATGTAGAGCAACACAGTTCCGGATCACTGACAACGGTTTCTGAACTGTTACCTACAACTGTGTGCATCTAACTGGAAAGTTAGAGCAGCTTTGTGACTTCAACCCTTTTCCTCATTCTGGCTAGTGAAGACATTTTCAAAGCCTACGTTCTGCCTCCCAGCTCTGATATCCAGCTGCACAGGCTCCATATCTCATAGCTTGCTACTGATGTCACACAGTAATGAAAAGGTTTAACAGCTTTTTTGGAATGCTTATTTTCGCGTGTCTCATTCTCAACTGTTTTTGAACAAGGAGTGTGCCTAGCATCTGTGAGACTCCTCAACAATGTCTACTCCTGAAATTTTTTATGCAGTAGAGAATTTAGTTAAACAGAGCCAAACCAAGACTGCAGAGGGTGCAACACGTTGCCTTTTAAAGTATTTGGTAAAATAAGTGTCTGAAATTCACAAGAAGTGACCTAAATCATGAGCCACACAGCCAGCACTGAAGACCATGTCTTCAGGAGATGTTTCATTTAAACAGTTGGCCTGTAAGACCTGGGGTCTCACAGCTCAGGAGTTTAAGATCACGCCCTTCCCAGAAACTCTCCCAGACCAAGACTCGTTGCAAAAGCAAGAGGTTTATTAACCATTGCGCAGTGGGGTCACCCCTGCCGGTCAGCAAAGAGTGGCACTGGGAGACAAAGGCCTTTAGGTTTTTAAAAGAAAAATTGCGGGAGATTTGAAGTTGCAGTCTTGGCAATTTAGGATTGGATGAGGAAGCTATAAAGTAAGATAATTGGTTAGTCTTAGGTGCTCAAGCTTGGCCAGTCCTGCCAAGTGTGGATGCAGCTGCAATTAAAGGTGGGGGTGGTTAGCTCATCCTTGAAGATTAGGGGCTA